TAAACAATTACGACGTACGCAGACGTAACGACGACGACGGTTTCTCCTTTCTTTATTTCTCAGGATCGCTCCACATCAAGCGAGGTGTTAAAACGCTCCGGTTTCCTCAAGTCTCCCTCTCTTATGACGTCTCTTGTGACGCCTTCTCGTGAAGATACGGTATTTCTTATTATCGTGCTCGAGAGTCTAAAGTTACGGTTAAGGTCCTCCGCAATCGTCAGACGAGTCGATGTCACTCTGATAGAATATTGATGTTATCACATATTTTCTCGCGATGCTTTATGCAATACAATATATCTAAGATAAGGTAGTAAAACATCTAGAAAGTAATAAAATAAAATATTTAAGGATAAAAAGATTTGTTCGGTAAATAACAGATTTACTTATGTACTAATACAAAATATCTTTCCAATATAAGAAAACCCAGGTAGACTTTCATGATTGGACAATTGATGATGGAAATTTTATAATTCTTCCAATTATATTTATTAAGTAAATATCCCCTATTGAATTAATTACAAAATTTTCATCATACAGTAAAGTAAATCTTTTGTTGTATTGATGCAATAACAAATTTATTAAAAGTTTTACCTAGATTTTTATATTGTATTTATTATGACATATTGCTTGGGACCAATTTTGGTGAATTTTTTTTTCTTATTTCTATTTCATCATTCTGTATGATAGATGTAGGTCTAATCAGTAATCTAACCAGTAACCTAATCAGTAATCTAATCAGTAATAAGGGATTCGACGTTGTTGAATTTCGTGATTTAATACACTTAAAATTGCTGTAAATTTTACATACATAAGTTTATTGGGGAAAATATATATCCTCTTAAATAAAAAAATATACATATTTTGTTAAATAAAATATACATTTTTCAAATGAAATATCCATCTTCTTAAAGAAAAGATATACGTTTTCTTAAAACTTTAGTTTTTCATCAAAGCAATCGTTTTCCATTTCCATTTAAACAAAAGAATTTATATTAAATAAATATATTTACCGAATAAATATTTTTTTATTTAGGGTACATCTTTTCTCACATAAATCTTTTCTCATATAAATGCACAGATATTTTCACACTTGTCACTATTTTTATATATTCCTCATATATTCGCTATATGAGGAATATTCCTCTTCATGTTTAAGTATTTATATTTATGTCTGCGTCTCTTCGCGTGCTGAAAACGCACGACGCGTCCTTTGCATTGTTGCATATTCATTGTATTCATGGCAGTTGGGATAAATTGCTCTTTTATCGAGCGTGCTGGAAAATATAGCCGCGCGTAATCAGCGATAAGAATCGGACGCGCGTAGAGTTAAGCCGCGCGGATGATTTCTCGTGTTTGCACGTTCAAGTTGCACGCCGCTTTACCCACGCGATGCGTGACGTCGAAAACAAAGGGAAGTCGGGAAATAAAGCAAGTGCACGCGTCTCCCCGCGCAGCTAGACGTTTCCATCATTTTTACAGCTATTTACGACTTGATTACAAGGCTCTTGACGGCGGCGAATGCCGGATACAAGTAACAGGCATTAATTACCGCGTCATAGAGAACCGAACTGACAACCTGTTGCGTTCTTCCTAGTGCCTGCCAGTGTCGCCCGCCACCGCCGCGTACGAAGGGTGCGTTCGCGCCACGAGCCTTTCATTCGCTGACTTTCTTCACAGCTTTTCGACAGACCCATTGCCGTAAGAGTATGAAACTGCTAGTTACGTAAGATGTAAGCAATAAGCAAGCCAACCACAGTCGATTATTCGTGGACTAATTTTTGCTGTGAAAATCTCTGTGTAGAGAAGTTTCAAATTAGCATTAGAATAATTCATTAAAGGCACAGATGCAACTGAGAGAATTAGATATTGAGAGCAAAAATGGAATTATATATTAAACCGACTTTATTCGATAAAAAAGAAGCATCTCATGAATGGAACAACAACTACTAATGGCTTGGGCCTTGGTTGGAAATAAGTCAGTCTGGTTTCTTGAATCATTAATCGTTCACCTAAGAAAATCCCATGTCTTTATACAGGGTGGTTTTATAAATTCGGGGGCAAATTGTGACTCTTCTATGCGAAAATCGTCGAGTTCAGGGATGAAGGCAGACTCAGCACCGGCAAATTCACCGAGGAAAACTCGTGTACGGACAGAAGTGCTCACCCCGTGTTTACGTGCCGCGAAATGGAACGTGGAACGCGGAGGGCCCGCGAGGAGATACCGCTCGCGGTAAAACGAGCGACCGGTGCGCGGTGCCGCGCCTGTCGCCGGCGAGGATATACGAGCGATCGCGCGCTGATGAATCGCTCGAAACTTCGGGACGCCTTGGGACGGTCCGGTATCGCCGGCGGTGTAAACGGAACCGTAAATCGTCGGGACGATAAATGACAATTGCGGCTGACACGATCGGCTGCCGTATATGCGGCCAAGCCGGCGGAGCCGAGTCGTACCGGCCCGGTGCGGGCCCGAAAGGGCGGGCGAAGGGAGGCGAGGTAGCCAAACGCGTGGGTGGATGCAAGATAACGCGTCGCATTACGTGGGACGTTAATAAATTATTATTGCGCCCCGCGCGAGCTCCCCTGCCGCGGAATGATATCTCCATTGTCCTTTGGCGGATTAATAGCCTGTGGGTAACGCGTAACGCGATGGTTGACTCGCGTACGACGAGTAACAGGGCCCGAGTGTCTCCTACAGGACTATAGTCGGCTGGCAGGATCGGCGCGATGATCGACGAGCTCGATGTCGCAGATGCTTGCGCGGTTCGCGGTAATTGGCTACGATGTTGCGCACAACAGCGATCGGCAAATATCTCATTGTGGGACGATATCCTTGAGAGAAGGTCGGACGAACGGAGATATATTGGGAAATGCCGAGGAAACTTGATACGGGTCTTATGATCTTGTCTCGCGACGTTGGGACGAAAGAGAATGAACCGATCGGTCTCTAAATTAGTCGTTTAATCCTTGACACATTATATCGGGATATTAATTTAACAGAGAAATTAACTTGCTATATTCGTTTTTAAATTAATAAATATTCTCTTCGTTTTCCTTTGGAAAATAAAATCGAATAAAAGTCGTGAAATGTCAATCCTTGCATACAGTTAGAACTTTGTTCAAAAGAACTTTATAATGGCGACGCCTCCACTGCAAATCCGAATGTACTATTTTTGAACGCATAAACGTGTAATTGGCTGAAACTTTTTTCACACGTCTCTTGCGATTTCAAATCACATCATTCAACATGTTTATGATGTAGAAATTAGAATTTTATACGTTTGAACGTGTTAAATGACGCGACTTGAGACAATAAGAAACATGTAAAAAGGGATAAAAAGGATTCAACTAATTACATGCTTATATTTACATGCGTTTAAAAATAACACTTGGATTGTGCCGTCGTACACTGCAAATGTGTTAATTTCACTTATTTTATATCTGTGTAATTTCCAGAAACCATTTTATCCGTATTATTTTAACACGTATAAGTATGTTTATATGATACGGATTTTACCCGCAATAATGAGAACACGTCTTGGAAATATATAACAAGATAACTTTGTTATTAAACTTTTGTGACATGTTATAAAGTATAAAAGCCATTTAACATGTTAAACTTGTAAATTTTTATTTACACGTTTTAGCAGTTTAACATGTTGAATGGCTTTTACACGGTTAGGGAATTATAAATCATAAAGAATTTTTATAAAAGAGTAAATTACACAAAGAAAGAATGCAAATGTTAATTTGCAAATGTATTTTATTTACACTTGATATATGTAATTATTTTCATTGAAATAAGAAGCATGTTATATAAAGTATTGTAAAAATCACAAAATTAAAAACAGAGAAAGAGATGTAAATCACTGCTACATTGCAAATTCAAGTGTATTATTTTGGCTAAATCTTTTACACGTTTTTTACTATTTTGAGTCACGTCATTTAACATGTTAAAACGTATTAAATTTATAATTTATCCGTCTTATAAATGTGTCAAATAACGTGACTTAAAACAGTAAGAAACGTGTAAAAGGGTTTTCAGACAAATTATACGTTCACGCATTTAAAAATAACGCACTTGGATTTACAGTGTATCTCGCTGCGGCTGCGACGCGACTTACCGGACACCGTGTATATGCGAGGTGAACGGCCGCGGCGAGCAACGCTTATCTGAGGCGCGGAGGGGGGGGGGCCGCGTGCCGCCCAAGGTGACTCACCGGAAGCAGTCGCGTGCCGCATTCCATTCACGCACGTCGCGTCGCGTCGTATCTGCTGCTCGCTACGCTCGATAACGCCGGCCGGCCGAAAACACGGATCGACACAATCGTCAATAACTTCACTTGTAGACGTCGTAGCGACTTGAAACAAAGATCATTGGAAAGAGGAAATTACCGCGCTTGCGTTAAACGTAAAATCATCCTCCTGTGAAATAAGAATCCAATGGCGTAGACATGTGAGTATGAAAGACATCGGTTTTTGTGTTTGCGCCAAAGTGGACGTTAATTATTAATCTGTGTTAACAACTAATGAGAAACCTTAGTTTGGATTTATAACGCGAAACGTTAGTTTCATGCTTTTGACGAGTATAAAGTACAATTTTAAAGAAAGGGGCGAAATTATTACGATGGGAACTTTCTATCTAGCAGTGAATATTTCTGTCGCAGTGTTTAAGTTATATCGAATAAATTTAGTCTCGGTAATGACGGTATTAGCTGTGCCTATTCCAATAACGCGTTTTAGCTGCCACAGTTATATTTTAGCGAAGCCAGACGTACGTGAGACGCGTTTTATTATTTCGCATTATATTATCTTGTTTATTGTATCGTAGAATCGTATTAAATAATGACAGCATTTTCGAATTTGGATGGTAACTATTATTTTTCATTTTTGTCGGTTTAAAAAGAATACACCGTCTCGAGTTTCTATATTCTTGACAATTATCCATGGCACATTATTGTTTTAACATCATAACTAACCCGAGAATTTTCTTTTTGTTTCAGATTTAACGTTGCCACAGGATGGATTCTACGAAACCTGTAAAATGTAGTTTTAATACTGTACCGGAGGATCCGGTTCGGGCAAAGCAAGATCAACTCGAAGGTATGTTTATATACACTTTCTCTCCAATTTAACTCTCTAATTACTAATTAATGTTTATATACACTCTCTCTCTAATTTAACCCTTTAGGACGAAAGATTAGGATATTGTTATCCAAGTATAAAAATTGTAGAGTTATAACAATTGCAAAAGTTTAACACGCTCGTATCCGTGTGTATTTTTTCATTAAACTATTAATTCACATATCTAATCCGTAGTGATCTATATTATTGTTTCAGATTTGCAGCAGAACGTGATTGAGATCCTGGTATTTGGGTGAGTCAAAAATTGAGTACATTTAAGATGTTGGATTTATTCGTGATTTGAGTATACAAAAAAATCAATGCGATTTACTTAGTTTGTAGATTTTTACATGAGCATTGAGAGAAAGAAAATTGTTTCGCTACAAATTACAAATTTAGTTATTTTTGCCGTTAGTTATATTATTTTGTTATCCTATACTAAAAAAAGTAGCCGCAGAAAAGTACTTACTCTAAAAATAGGTTTCCCAATTGTAATTATTTCACCGCGTCGTTACAATGACGAATAGAAAAAACTTTTCTCTCAGTGCTAGGAATTTTTACATGCATGTATCTATTCTGTCCACTGAAATAGCCTGCTCGAAACAATCGGAAATTCACATTTCTTTAAATATATCATCTTATTTACCAGATAGTCTTAAGTTATAGAGTATCTTTTTTTTAAAAATAAGGTTCTTAATATCCTTCATCTTTTTTCTTAATTCTTAATAGTTTTTCAATTCTTAGTATTCTTAATACTCTAATGCTTTATTCAATATACTCAGTATGATCTCCCAATTGTTTCGTGCAACGTAAAATGCGCGTTAGAATTGCGCTTCAAGATTGCGCATCAAAATTGCGCCACCACATATGGAATTTGCGATTACTTTCTTACTCGCGATAAATATAGTAATCGTCATGTTGGTCAGTTTCCAAAATTTTTAACAGTAACAGATTATGATGCTATTTTCCTGGAAATGTTAAATACAATATTTATAATCATCGTTTAGCTAAAAGATAGAATTTACGCGAAAGAAGAATCTCATTTTTAAAAATATAATCAGCCGTGAAACGGTATCTTCTCTTTTTTTCTCATTATTGTCAGACGCAACGCTGTCTTTGATTCGCTGTTTATTTACACGTAACTCGTGAGTGTGCGCGCGAAATGCCGTAAACTGTCGCATTTTTTGTTATGTCGTTGAAATAAGTACGGTCGCCAATACAATATAGCAAAATGAAGCAAGCAAAGAGCGATCGATATAGGACGGCTGGATTCTTAGGACGTCCAGCAATATCAATTGAGCGTAAAATTAAACGCTATAAAGCATCACATTATGTAGTGCATGCAGTTAGTATTTCAGTAGATTAATAAATCGCATTGATTACCGATAAGGAAAAGCACGGTTGTATATTTTAATGAATGCGATATTATTTAACAAATATTTATGAATTAATACAGCGCGCGCTTATGTTTGATAACTATATACTATATACTAGTAAGTTATATAAATCTTGAATATCAAAGAGAAATTTCCTAATACAGTTTGACAATATCACGTTTACCCGTTTGATGTTTCTCCGGGATTAAACGCAATTGTCGATTCAGATATAATTTTTTATCCATTCGCATTCATCCATGTGAACTTTTTGATTTCTGATGCGAGCTAAAGTTATATTACGCTGTAAGAATCATCCGTGATAATTACGAAAACCGTCAGTTTTGATAAATGCTTATTCTTTAAATATTTTGATACGGAATTGAGCACAAACATATAAGATGATGGGTTTATTCATGATTACACAAAAAATTTATGCAATTTACTTAGTTTATGGATTTTTACATGAGCATTGAGAGAAAGAAAATTATTTTGCTACAAATTACAAATTTAGTTATTTTTATTGTCATCTATATTGTCACCTATTATTTTGTTCTATAACAAAAAAAGTTGCCAGAAAGAAAAGCACTTACTGTAAACATTCCTAACTGTAATTATTTCACCACGTCATTATAATGATGAATAGAAAATATTTTTCTCTCAATGCTGGACAAAGTACAAATTATACTGAGAGAAAAAATGTTTAAAAAATAAAAAGAATATTTATTTGATAGGTGCTACAATAACATGTTTACTTGTATTAATATATATATTTTTACATTAAAAAAATTGTTCATTCGAATGAGAAAATATACTTTTTTCTAAAAAAATTATATTTTGTGTTAACTGCTTATTGCATTTAAACAAAATAATTTAAATATGTTATTAGTACCCACTGAACAAATTTTTATTTATTCTACAGATATTTCTTCTCTCAATGTAAGCTTTTTTTCAAGAGATAAAAGTGTACACTGAGGAAAAAAATACTTGAAAATTGATTTATACAGGGTAAAAGTTTGTTTCACAGAAATAAACTTTGTACAAATTTTGAAGTATTTCTTTTTCAGTGTATTATTTTATTTTATTATTAGCAAACTCCAAATTGCCATATATTAAGTTGATTACGTGAAATTCTCTATATAAATCTGCTTTTGAATAATATCCTGATTTCACTGAACCGCGTGGTATTTGTAAGCGTAGGCGACCACTCGGCATTCACCGAAATCGCTGCACGCGACGGGTTGAGCGTGAAAGCCGCGCGGGGACTTTTATCGAATATGACAGGTCGGTTGTACCTAATTTATCTCGTTTTATTTCTTATCCCGCGGGGGACACGCATTCGTATTATGGGGACGCGGGTCTGTAGGTCTCGCGCGTTCTTTCCCGGCGATCCATCATCGTAACAATTAGTGTTGGCCACGTTTCTTTATCGACTCGCACGTGGGAGGTGTAGGTGGAGGACGAGCCTTCGTTCTCGAGGATGATTCAACGTCCGATTGCATTAACGGCACCGAGGAATGCCTTTGTCTCGATTTGGTAGCGGAAGCCGTGCCGCATTCTGACTCATTGCGCGCGACTCTTTCACTTTCGGCCTTTCATTTGCTCCGTTAAATACCGTCGTATAAAGACGTCAAATAAAATGAGACGCGAAAAAAGCTCCCGCTCTGACCAGTTATTCGCCGGACGATTCGTACTTCGATTGTAATTTGAAGAATGCCGACTTTCGAAAAGGCGCGTCGGGACGAGAAGCTGACGAAATCGTGGAGTATATAAAAACGAGAGTTAACCGTTCGCGAGTGTTGTAAGATGATTTAGGTACGAGCTGCTTCTAACGCACGATTATGCACGGAGTACAGTTACCGGTGGTAACCGCGATAATAACATTAATAACCTCTTACTCGCGTTAAATCGTCGTGCAACGATAAAAGCTGCCTTCGTATTGACGTAGCCCGTTAGTCATGCGCCGAAGAATATACCGCGCAGCCGGGCTACTTACCGTCGGATCAATCATCTAAATATATTGGCGTCATTACGAATGCGTGTAATGCCGATAAATCTATTCCCGTCGCCTTTACGTCCTCCGTTCTTCTTTGTACGCCTCCTTGTCGCCAGGAAGTATCTTTCTTGTGAGCGGTGCGACGAATGACGTTGACATTCGCTTGGCAGTGTGACAATTATTAATGAGCATATCCTCCGCACTGCTCGCAATAAATTCTTTACGACCCGTATATGTTACGCGGTCTATGAAACGCGTTAAATAAAGTCCGCGAAATTTAGTTGCGGCTTAACGCGAGAGAAACTTTTGTGACAAATGATTGCATTGTGCAATCGTGATAATAAACATAGTAGCGAATGTCCTTTGGAATATCCCGTTGGGCTGAGCTGAATTTTCCAGATAACGTTATCGACTATTTTCTTAATCCATTCGCTCCATTCGCCCGATTTTACTCGTTATACCTTGCAACATCCTGACGAAAGTTAGTTTAATTATTTCTGATAATTTTTGAAATTTCAACACGTAGTGTCAGACTAATTCCAAGTTGACTTGTTGAGATTAACCTTGCAGTTCGATTTATCAAATATTACTCGCACGCTCGGTGTTGCAATTTCAATTATACATCGCTCATCTAAACGATGTATACTTATACGGAAATATATATAGTGTGAACTAGGAATTTAATCCGTAGAGGAAAGAACCGTATCGTATTGCGCTAACTGACCATTAACCTAACGAGCGGTTGCTATATCGGAGAGAGCCTGTTATATTCGTGATTAGAGGCATATCATCGATAAGATGAAATTGTTGACGTTTCGTTGAATTAGCAATCAATCCTAGGAACGCCTCGGGAATGACGAGAAACCTATTAATACTGCAAATTTCACACTGATGTGTACTTAACTGGCGGGGATGATCGAGCGAAATAGTCAGTCCTGATAGCGCAAATTCATTGCCATTGAGGATGTATTGCCCCGTATAATTTTTGCAAAATGTTACAAAATATTAGAAATACGCTAATATTTCTATTTTTCGTATAAAACGTGCACACACACACACACACGACAACAAATAACAACATATTTTACTATAACATCATATTTTTATAGTTTATTTACTTTATTTTATTTATTTCTGATTTCTAAAGATTTATCTGTAAACCACAATGAAACTTTGCATATATCATTTTGAAAACTTAAGGTACATGTAGGGAAAAATTCAAATGTTTTCATTATTTTTAGTTATCTTTTTCTTTACTTAAAACAACAGCATCATGTATTTCTATAACAACATGATTTAAAGTACTCTCTCAGCAGAATACTTATCTGACGTTATTATGCTTGCTTGGCTCATTTTAAAGTGGAGTAACTTTTAATTTAAGACTGTAAAATTGTTTGCAATTGTTTTTAGATGCAATATAGATTAATCTGTAATTTTTTCCAAAATTTTTCATCATTTTCAAGATATGGGCAGTACATCCTTAATATCGACGCGATATTTAAGAAAATGCGAGCGTTAAGTTCGCGACCAGTACTTTAACACCTTGCGCATCCTCTATACCGCGTTACCCCGAAGGGAAGTGGGAGGAAGTGCTACATGCGTAATATATTATACTTTATACCGTTCCAAAATAGCTTCCAAGATTGTCGGGTTAACCAGGCCGCGTCTTGCGAATTCATGCCCTTTGCTTGTCAAATTTCGTCCCGCGGCTGTCGCGAGCGCTGGCGTTAGTGACGTAATTAATTCTCCGATAAACTACGACGGAAATACCAGCGATATATAGGCTGTTCGATGTGGAGATCCTCATCTACGAGGATTTTTCGTGATTTCCCGTGGCGCGGCAAAAGATTTGTCACTCAGGTGGGTCGCGCGCGACATGAATAT